CAGCCAAGTGCCCCTAGCTTTCTGGTTTTTCCTTTCTTTTTTTAAAAAAATTATCCTTCTTTTTAAAAAAAATCCTCCTTCCTTTCTTTTTTTTTTTATGTTTATTGTTTATTTGTTTATTTTGAGAGAGAGAGAGAGTGTGTGTGTGTGTGTGTGTGTGTGTGTGTGTGAGCAGGGGAGGGGCAGAGAAAGAGGAGAGAAAGAATTCCAACCAGGCTCCCCACTGCCAGCACAGAGCCCAACTCATGGCTCAAACTCACTAACTGTGAGATCACGACCCAAGCAGAAATTGAGTAGGACACTCAGGTTGGAATCCAACCTGGTGTCTTGCTCTGCACTGAACACAGAGCCTACTTAAGATTCTCTCTCACTCTCCCTCTGCCTCCCTCCCCTGCTCTCTCTCTCTCACAAAGTAAAAAATAATAATGAAATGAAATGAAATTGAAATGAAATGAAATGAAATAAATGAAATGACATGAAAAAGTGGTCATCCAGGGGGTGCCTGGGTGGCTCAGTCGGTTAGGCATCTGACTTCGGCTCAGGTCACGATCTCACGGTTTTCACAAGTTCAAGCCCCCCGTCAGGCTCTGTGCTGACAGCTCAGAGCCTGGAACCTGCTTCGCATTCTGTGTCTCCCTCTCTCTCTATGACCCTACCCACTCGCACTCTATCTCTCTCTCTCTTTCTCTTTCTCTCTCAGAAATAAATAAACATTTTAAAAATTAATAATGAAAAAAGTGGGCATCCAACACAAGGTGATTTCCCAGCAGCTATGTTTCCACCCCCTCCTTGGCCACAGGAGTGTGCACTTGAGCCAAAATGAACCAATCGCAACACTTTACCCACGGCTACAAGAAACTGACACCTACCCTAAACCAGGGAAAGGAACAAATCTTCCCAGGAACGCTTCAGAATGCGGCCAGAGGCAGAAAGCACCACGCCCTGTGTGTGGCCGAGTTGTTAGCACCTGAGGCTGGCACCACTGGGTGCTACATCTCCTGCTACAGAGAGAAGGCTGGTTTGGTGGAATAAAGCCAACAGAGAGAGAGAGAGAGAGAGACAGAGACAGAGACAGAGACAGAGATGGGAGAGCCCAGGAGTAGAGGAAGCCCTGGTGGCTTACATGTTTCTGATTCCTGTCGTTCCTGGGGACAGCTTGAGCCCCAGCCTCCCCAAGGTCAGAATTTCAAGCCAATCAAGTCCCCATCTGGTGAGGCAAACTTGAAACTTCTTCATACATAACCCAAGGAGTCCGGAATTCTACAGCCAAAGGTCGAGTTTCAACTTCACTGTTTCTGGAGTTTCTCTTTCTCACATCCCTGGAATGCCACTGGAATGTTCGTGACTAATCAGCAATGATCGTATTGTCTTTAAAGACAACTGCAATTTCTTTCTCACTTCTCACAGACTCTGCAAGTCACAGTGGTTAAATGGATGGACTCTTGGGTCAGAACGTGATGATCAAATCTCAGCTGGAGCATTTTACTAGCTGGGAGATCAAAGCCCAGTAGTGACATCTGGAGAAAGTGGCCTGTTTAACTGAGTTCTCTTTAATGGAGAGTCCTTTTTGTAAGCTCCGGTAGGTTGGCATATCACATGGCTTATGAGTCAGTGAGATCTCATAGCATCATCTCCAGAAAATACTCCCATTCTGTCACTCAGAGCCATCATTCTTTAGCTTTTCCTTTACCTGTTCCTTCTCCTATTGTCATTATAAATGGTCCACGAAGCTATGCCGAGAGAAAAACAGACAGAGAGGCGGCAGCAGCAGCCAAAAGAAGACACAGCTCGGAGACAAGATTAAGAATAGAAAATATAGAAGTTTCTTGGGACTGTCAGAGCTTGCAAGGAGAGAAATGTAGTCAGCCCTTTTCTGATATTAACTTCATTTTTTATAGTACCCTAAAATAGGCTTGGGAGTTTTCAGAGGAGGCTGAAAATTAATTCAGGAAACACTGCCAAACTACGGAAGCCAAGAACTTCCTTGTGACTAGGGTGTGTCTATGGCTATGGGTGACAGATAAGAAGTGTTCGGTGTCGATTGCTGACAGTACAGCCCGCCTTATCAGTGCCATCCTGACAATCCCAGCGTTCGTGTTCGTTACCTGAGATAACTTTCCTAGGCTCCATCTAAAAAGAAATGTTTCATAATCCTATCTGCTTCGGGGTGTACCAAGTCACTGTCATTAAGGTTCATGTCATTAAGGTTTATGGCATTAAGGTTTCTTCCCACAGAGGGGAAATCTTTGATCTAAAGGTATTTATGCAGAATAGGTAAGTTCTTGAGGACTCGGGGGTGATTTTTGCTTTATTTGTTATGCAGTTATCAGAAGACAATGACAAAAAATTAAATCTCTCTATCATGATTGTTAGAGTAAGAATGCAATTAAACCCCAAAAGATCATGTAATGTTGAAAATATTTAGAAAAGGAAAATGTTAAAAACCCAGATAGCTAACTCAACGCTAAACTATTTACACTTGAGGTCGTTTAATGAAAGGTACCCAAGATTCCTTTTTAAAATGTCTCCTTACAGTTTAGATGGATGTCATAATGTAGTTACTGGAACACATGTGAAGAATCTAGTCACTTAAAAAATTAAAAAGGAGGGGCACCTGGCTGGCTCAGTCGGTAAAGCTCAGGGTCATGAGCTCAAGCCCCACATAGGGTGTAAAGCTTACTTAAAAAAAAAGAATTAGAGGGGTGCCTGGGTGGCTCAGTCGGTTGAGTTTCTGACTCGGGCTCAGGTCATGATCTCACGGTTCGTGAGTTCAGGCCCCGCATTGGACTTTGTGCTGACAGCTCAGAGCCTGGAGCCTGCTTCAGATTCTGTGTCTCCCTCTCTCTCTCTGCCCCTCTGCCACTCGTACTCTGTCTCTCTCTCTCTCCAAAATAAATAAAACATTTATTAAAAAAAAATTAGAAAGGAAATACTGTACCCTCCCCTGTTTCTCCTGCTCCTGCCCGTGTATGCCTCTCCTAAGCCTCTGGGAGACCTCTTCGTTCTGTGTACGTGGGTGTGGCTGGATAGGGAGCAGGGCGAAGATCTTAAGACATTCTTTCAGAAACTGCAATGGCCATCAGCTCTGGGACAAAAGGGCTTACTGAATTTCAGAACCTGGAACCCAGGCCGTAAGTCTTAGGAAGGTCAAGAGTAGTAGTTAGAAGCAGAGATGAGAAAAGGCCATAGGTCCAAGGCCTAGTCCTTGGATTGGCGGGTCAAATACATTCCTTGGTAAAGCAAACTGCTCAGTCTGAGGCACTCCTTTGTAGTCGCAGTCAAATTTCAAGTCAGATTTTACCTCACATTCCCAAACCAATGATTCTGCTCTCAATTCTGCTATGTAGGGAGTGAGGAGGGTGTCCCCACATCACTAAGCAATTATCTGATACCAGCTGGGTGTCCTGCAAGTCAACTCAATTCTGACACTATCTACCTGGAGATAGGAGTGTCTACAGGGACAGGACCTATGGGCAGAAAGAGCTGCACTGGGGTTGTGCGGAGTGACTGGTTATACTATGGGACTGGGGGAGGTAAAGGCAAAAGGGAGGCCTCCAGAAGGACTTTGATATGCTAAAGAGGACTGGTAAGATATCAGAGGCCTGGCAATTGTCAAGTTAAGGTTGTTTTCCCTCTAGTAAGGCATTAACATTATGCAGTTGGGAGTTCCTGGAGAAATGTTATACTCTGTATTTGCCTCAAGTATTTGTCAATGGGCTGCAGGTTATAAAGACATTTAATTTTACCTGCCGTTTCCTGCTTGCCTTTGTTCCCCACATCACTATGGAGGGGAAGGTGATATTAGGGGCTCTAGGAAACTGAGTCCATAGGTTTCTGGAGATTAGGCTATTGATAAGATTGCCTTTTTCTTGTAATTTACTAAAACATTTGTAAACTGATGGAGACTCATGTCCAGTATGACTGTGATCTCTATCAGCTGACCATTTTTCTTTTCTTTCCTTTGTTTTTGGGCAGCCAGGAGTGCCTGAGGAATATCACATATCCTACATTGGGGACGGGGGATTGTGCCAGCTTGTGTTTTGCACTCTGCTTGCCTTATGGTCCCTCAGCAATATCACCTATCACAAAGGACTCTTTTTTTTTTTTAATTTTTTTTTTAACATTTATTTATTTTTGAGACAGAGACAGAGCATGAACGGGGGGAGGGCCAGAGAGAGAGGGAGACACAGAATCTGAAGCAGGCTCCAGGCTCTGAGCTGTCAGCACAGAGCCTGATGCGGGGCTCGAACTCACGGACCGTGAGATCGTGACCTGAGCGAAGTCGGACGCTCAACCGACTGAGCCACCCAGGCGCCTCCACAAAGGACTCTTTTGAGAATTAAATATATGAAACAGCTTACGCAGAGCTTTGAGTAAGGCTCCCCACAAAATGTTAGTTTCCTTCCTCTGACCAAGAGGAAGTTTAGTTCCTCTGATCCTGCTGATCTCCAAGGTCCCAAAAGTTATGTGCTATCCATCTTCATGAGGCTGTTTCTGCCTCCTGGGTTGGTCTGCTATGAGCATTTAAGTAACCAACGATTGACTATATGTAATATATAATATATATATATTAATTACCTATATATATGTGTGTGCGTGAGAAGTAAGGGAGATGATTCATTTTCAGAAATAACAAATAAAAGCTGTGCTGTCTAGTTAACAATAGGTTTACAACCTACTGGAAATATCTACGAACCCCACATCCGCCCCCCAGTGGAGTGTCAAACCCTTAGACACTTCACTTCTTGGTTTTTCTTCCCCTCTCCTTTTCACGGGCTTATTTTCATGGGCTTTGAAATGATCATGCACCAAAGAGCAAAGGGAGGAGGGACGGAAAGTCTCTGCATCATCACTTCAGGGAATGTATATTTGTTCCAGTCTGACTACTTTCTGCCTTACATGGGCATAGGTGACGTCATGGTAAGGTTATAACCTCTGTAGCACTCAGCCAATGAGGAACCAGGGGAGGGACTTGCGCACTAGGAGATAAACTGCCTGCTCTAACTGCCCCGAGTGTGCCTGTCCCTCAGACACCACCTCTTGGAAGGTCGATTAAAGCCTCGCTTCATGGTGCTCCGAGTCTCCTTGTCCCTGAGGGGCAAGGTGGGTAGGCTTATTTCTAATTTATGTATGTAAGTAAAATTTGGACCCAGTATGGCTACACAATATTGTTGGGGAAAAAAACCTTCTTCTGCCATATTGGCGTGGATTGTTGGGGTTTGGGAGCAAACGGTCAAGGAAGAATTCTTGAGATGTCTCTGGTGCAAAAAGGGTGATGTTATTAAAGCACGGGGACAGGACCCATGGGCAGAAAGAGCTGCACTGGGATTGTGAAGAGTATCTGATTATATACTTTTGTGGTAGAGCCCCTCCCTAAGGAATGGGGTGAAAACCTCAAGACAAGGGAAGACAAGACCTGGCTATGTGCACATGAGCTACCTTCCTCACAACTCTGTAACAGACCGGCCATTCAGACTGTATGTTACCATATATGGGAGACAACGGAGCAAAAATGGTATAAAAGGCAACCCCTTGATGCGCTCGGGGCTCAGGCTTTTGGGGTCTTAGCCCGCTGAGCCCGTGCAGGCACAAATAATGTTGCTTCCTGGAAAGAAAAGTCCTGACTCTCTGTGTGTGACTGGCCACTACACTTTCAAGTTGGGAGGGGTTTAGGGATAGGGTAAGTCTCTAAGGAATTTGGAAGCAAGGTTTCCAGGACGTTGAGGGGCTAGCTGCTGTTAGGATAAGGTCATTTACTACTGTCTGTAAAACCTTAATCATGAGACCCTTAAATGTATATCAGAAGTGGATGTTTGGAGGATGATTGTTAACATATATCTTTAGGGGATAGAGACAAAGGAAGTTTCCAAAGGGATTTTCATAGGTTAAAGTCGACTTACAGGATCCTGGAGGTCGGGCTAGTGTTAAGCTAAAGTTGTCTCGTGCCTCTAGCGGAGTATTAACATCGAGGCAGCTAAGCTCCTTGAGGAAGGTCACGCTGCCTGTCTCAAGTACTTTTCAGTGGGCTGTAAGTCGTAAGGAAGTTTAATTTTTCTTTTTCCTTTGCTCTCCCCATCATTATGGTCCTTCTAGCTTGACTTAATCAAATTGACACGAGACAGATTAACAGGAGAAAATCACATTTAAAAGGTGTATGTATGGGGAGTCCAGATATGCATGAAATTCCAAAGGCGATGAGGCAACAGGAAGCTTGTGTGAGCTAAGGAAAAAGGTAGGGGCCTGAGGTAAGAGGACACTTTGGAAAAACAAGGTTGTTCTATTATGCAGATGAGTTCCAAGCAAAGAGTAGCCTGTGTTAATACTTCTCTTCCTGATGCAGTTCTTCTTTCCAATATAAATTTAGGCAGTTATGGGGGAAGCAGAGAGCTTTTCCTCCATCTGTTGGGTTTTTATTACTTTCAACTCAAAATAATCTTTATGCCAAAGTGGCACATTTTGGGGCAGCCTGCCCCGGGCCTGTATGATGTTAATGAATGGCATTTTACCAAAGTACACCTGTTTACTCCCTATTCCATATGATATATTCATGCACTACATATGAGTAGTATGATTACATTTACATATAAGAAATTGGAAGGGATGCTTCTATTCTAGAATGAAAAACTATAAAATTCTCAAAAATTATCTCCATCTCAATTTGGGAATTCCTGATTATGGAGCAGTAACAGCTTGCCCGTAACTTGGTAGCATTAATCATCCAAGAGCCATGCTGTGGGAGACCAGTAAGGCTTGCTACACAAATGGTCAAGGTCCTGCACAGAAAACCACAACAAGGAGATCAACCTTTAAAGATGAATTTTCTTAACAAGGATTTTTATTGTAAACTGCCACGAGCATGTACTGTGAGGAAAAGCACTTACGTAACTACTTTTGCTAATTCGACCCTAACAAAAAACTACTTTTAACAAATCCCCAAATCCATTATCACCCTTAACCAATGGCATGTGGGCCACCCTGTCTCTTCTGTTGCCAAAGTGACTTCCTACAGATGAGGGAGCCAAAGGCAAGCTGAGGACAAATCACAAGCTAACAACCTCCTAGCAACCTCCCTCCCTGGCAGGTGGGATGTGTGTGACATTCCTCAGGCACTCCTGGCTACCCAAGAACAAAGGAAAGGGGAAAACAAATGGTTAACTGATAGAGATCAGTTGTGCAGGACAAGAGTCTCCATCAGTTTGCAACTGTCTTAATGATTTACAAGAAAAAGGCAACCTTATCAGTAGCCTAACCTCCAGAAACCTATATACTCAGTTTCCTGGATCCCTAACATCACCCTCCCCTCCATAGTATGTGGGGAACAAAGGCAAGAAGAAAATGTAGATAAAATTAAAATCCACTTAGGGCTTGCAGCCCACTGACAAACAGACAGGTAGAGTAGAACATTTCTCTAGAAATTCCCTACTGTCTTAATGTTAATGCCTTACTGGAGAGAAAAACCACCTTAGCTTCACAATAGCTAGACCTCCAGTATCTTATGAGTCCTCTTTAGCATATGAAAGTCCTTCAGGAAAACTCCCTTTTGCCTTGACCTCCCCCAACTCCATAGTTTATAATCAGTCACTCCTCACAACCCCAGTGCAGCTCTTTCTGCCCACAGGTCCTGTCCCATGCCTTAATAAAATCACCTTTTTGCACCACAGACGTCTCAAGAATTCTTTCTTGGCCGTCGGCTCCGGACCCTCCCTCCCCCCACCCCCACTCCAAAACCTCATCACTACTTCTTTTTATTCCAAGTTTGAGACAGGGAAAGTCTGCTGTCCATAGTCATTCGTGACAGCTCTCTTCACCTTCAAAATTGTCCCGTTTAGATAATAAATTTTATCACACTTTTTTTTTTAATTTTTTTTTTAATATTTATTTATTTTTGAGACAGAGAGAGACAGAGCATGAACGGGGGAGGGTCAGAGAGAGGGAGACACAGAATCTGAAACAGGCTCCAGGCTCTGAGCTGTCAGCACAGAGCCCGATGAGGGGCTCGAACTCACGGACCTCGAGATCATGACCTGAGCCGGAGTCGGCTGCTTAACCGACTGAGCCACCCAGGCGCCCCTTTATCACACTTTTAACACTACCTACTTTTCATAGCTACCATTTGTTGCATGCCCGCCATGCACCAGACAACTTACTCTTATTATTTTATTAAAAAACATAAAAATCCCCATATGTAGTGATTGTCCCCATTTGATGGCTGAGGAAATTGAGGCTCAGAAATATTAGGAAGCTTTCCTAAAATTACACAACTAGTATTTACAGAGCCGGGACTCAAACTCAAGTCACTATCCTACCTTCAGCCTTTTGTGAAAGGCAAGCAGACAAGAAAAATCATCTAAAACATCACTAACTGTGTACAGAAAAGTCCAAAAGCACTACCTGCATTTCACTAGTGCAGCTGTTTTCAAAGGGTGGCCCATAGATGCCTAACAGCCTCCCAAGTCTTTTCATGGGGTCATGGAGATAAAACATATTGTTATATTAATACTAAAATGTTATTTGCCTCTTCTGTGTTGACACTTGATCTGCTGGTGCAAAAGTATTTGTGAGTCTATGATGAGATTCTACCTTACACCCACGAGGTGTAATTTTTAAATTTTTAAAAATGAAAAATAAGGCACTTGGCTGGCTTAGTAGAGCATGCAACTTTTGATCTCACGGTCGTGAGTTTAGGCCCCATGTTAGGTGTAGACATTACTTTTATGTATGTATGTATGTATGTGTGTGTGTATGTACATCTGGATGTATTTATTTATCTAATATAATCTATTGTCAAGTTAGCTTACAGCGTATACAGTGTGCTCTTGGTTTTGGGAGGTAGATTCCCGTGATTCCTCACTTACATACAACACTCAGTGCTCATCCCAACAAGCGCCCTCCTCAATGCCCATCACCGATTTTCCCCTCTCCTCTACCCGCCCTCCCCATCAACCCTCAGTTTCTTGTCTGTATTTAAGAGTCTCTTATGGTTTTTTTTTTAAACAACAAAATGGAAAATCACAAGTCTGGTGAGGATGTGAAGAAATTGGACCCCTCATACATTGCTGATGGGAATGTGAAAGTGGTGTAGCTGACATGGAAAACAGTATGAAAGTTCCTCAAAAAGTTAAACACAGAATTGCCAAGTGACTCACCAGTGCTGCTCCTACATATATTCCCAAAAGAGATGACAATAGATGTTCGAACAAAAACTTGTATAAAATGTTCATGGCAGCATTATTCACAGTAGCTGAAAGGTGTCAACAACCCAAACGTCCGTCAACTGATGAATGTATAAAATTGTGGTATATTCATGCAATAGAAGATTATTCGGCCATAAAAAGGATGGGGCGCCTGGGTGTCTCAGTCAGTTAAGCGTCTGATTTCAGCTCATGTCATAATCTCACAGTTTGTGAGTTCAAGCCCCACATCGGGCTCTGCACTGACAGCTCAGAGCCTGGAGCCTGCTTCGGATTCTGTGTCTCCCTCTCTCTCTGCCCCTCCCCAGCTTGTGTTCTCTCTCTCTCTTTCTCTCTCCTCAAAGATAAATAAATAAGCATTTTTTAAAAAAATGAATGATATATTGATACATGCTAAATAATATGGATGAACCTTGAAAATCTTGTGTTAAGTGAAAGAAGCCAGACACAAAAGTCACATGGTATCGGATTCCATTTACATAAAATGTCCAGACTAGGCAAATCCATAAAGACAGAAAGCAGATTAGTGGTTGTCAGCGGCTGGGGTGGAAAGAGGAAGGAGAATAACTGCTTAATGCATATAGGATTTTCTTTGGCGGTAATGAGAATATTCTGTAACTAAAGAGTGGTGGTGATTGTATAACATTGTGAAAGTACTGACCGCTATTTTAAAATGGCTACATGGTGATTTTTATGGGTTTTTTAAAAAATTAATTAATTAATTTATTTATTTTTAAAGTAAACTCTAGGGATGCCTGGGTGGCTCAGTCGGTTGAGCATCCGACTTCGGCTCAGGTCATGATCTCGCGGTTCATGAGTTCAAGCCCCGCGTCGGGCTCTGTGCTGACAGCTCAGAGTCCGAAGCCTGTTTCGGATTCTGTGTCTCCCTCTCTCTCTGCCCCTCCCCCATTCATGCTCTGTCTCTGTCTCAAAAATAAATAAACATTAAAAAAAAAGTAAAAAAAAAA